TGTACAAACCATGTTATTTTGTTTGTACGAGTGGGCATGATTTTAGAGAGGGTTCAATTATTTTTTATCTGATTGTATGTATGAAATCAAATTTTATCTATACGATCCTATTGTTAGTTTCTCATGGGGACGAACCTAACTGTCATAAAATGACCTATAATATTCTAATCATTCCAAACGAATAGCTATTCATTTGTCTATTCTAGTGGTTAAAAATTCTGTATGAAAGGATGCTTCAGGAATGACATTTTATGAAAAGTCATATCATTTTTGGCCGTATTCATTCATTTGTATGAAAAGTTTTTCGTCTCATATGATTTTGTAATTGTACGTATAATCTTAATTTTGTACTATATGATAGGTCATTTTTCTTTAAATTGAAGGGTCTTGGATAAGTTTTTCTTCACATTCTCATCCATTCTAAACCTTCTCGAGTCCAAATATGAGAAATGGCTAGCAGTAGTAGCAAACGACCTCACACTTCTAAGGGCTCATCCCCTAGATATGGTAGGGATGATAGTGTTCTTTCTAAAGAGAATGGGGAAGCTTTCGATAGGTGTTTTACTACAAAAATTACCCCCTCTCATCTTCTGATTCAAAGTGACATTAACTTTTTTGTTATGCCACTTTTGCGTCAACCCAATTTTCTTTTATCCCTACCCTCATCTATGCCCACGATAAAGAGACATTCCAAACTTTTCTGGCTAACATGAAGGTAAACAAGGATCACACTAGGATTATCTTTTATGTTTTCAAGCAACAAGTAGAAATCTCTAAGGAAGACTTAGGCAACTTTCTTCACCTAAGAACTCAAGGAATTAGAGCATACACCTTAACCTCTAGAGCCAACTTTGATTGGTCAAAAATAAATCAAACTCTTAGAGGTATTGCCCAAGTTAGCCATCTATCTCATATGTACACTTTAAATCAAAATGCCCAGATTATACAACATATTTTGAGAACCTCAATTATTCCAAAAGCTGGTGATCACATAAATTTTACTCCTCTCTTATCCACTATCATATATTTGATTATGATAGAAAAACCTTTTGATAAAGCCTAACTTATCATGGAATATATTTATAAACTTTATGATATTGGACTTCCTCATAATAAGAGGAAGAAAAATGTGGCTTTAGGACATCTAGTTTCCTATATCTTAAAAGATAAGTACAATCTTATCCATCCTGATCCACCCACTGAAATTCCTATTTTCTTTATTGATGCCTCTTTCTGAGAACTATTTAGGAGGGATCAAAGTTTTGAGGGAGATGATTCTGAGGAAGGAGGAGCTCTTACTCTAGCACCTGCACCTGGACCTGACCAGAATTTCTACCAAGAAATAGTCCAACACTTCAACAAAATGGAAACTCATTTTGATCAACGCTTTGATCAAATTGAGAATCACCTGAATAAATGGGATGCTATATAAAATGAAGATATATATATATATATATATATATATATATATATGGATTGGATCCGAGGGCAATTTGACTCGGTTAACATAAATGTAGCTATAATAAGTATTTACTTTTTAATGTTCAACCAACCATGCATCTCCTCCAGATCAAGGCCCCTCTGATTATTAGTTGTACTTATGTGTTGTAGTGCTCATGAGTTTGTGTTTGATGTTGAGAAGTTTTTCCTGTGATTTTAGTGATTTTTAGTATTAGTGATTACATGTGACGTTTTGCATTTCTAGGATAATGTTATTTGGGATGTTGTTAAATGGAAAACTATTTGTATGGGTTTTGGATGATCAATGAAATGATAGAATGTTTTATTGACATGAATTGAATCTCATTTCTTGAAATATTTATATTTTTTAGAGAAAAAACTTTTGTGGTTGATCTTTGGAATGAATTTTCAATTACTTTTCTCTACAAATTAATTTCCTTACAAAATTTAATCTTTCAAAATTTGAATTAAAATTATGACTTGATGTAGATAAGGAGGTCAATTTCATATTCTTATAGACAAATATAACTTAGCTATATTATTACAAGATTGATGTCTTATTTTTATTTTATTTCTTTTTGAATGTGCTAATTTTTATTAATTATTTAAATTTGAGTTAAGATTTATTAATATTGGAAAGACAAAAATATATCAAAAGATGTACAAAGCATGCCAAGCTTATAAAGATGCACAAAATGTGCCACTTGTTTAGAAAAGATGTGCAATATTCGCCACTGTGAAAAGAGGCACAAATTAGTCCAAATATAAAAGATGCATAAAGTGTGTCACAAAAATTAAAAAAATGCGCAATGTCGCCAATCAAAAAATCTGTACTATTCTTTCTTTTTATCAGTCTATCTCTTATTCAAATCTACATATGTGACAATAATCTTCATTATTGAATTAGAAACTCATTAATCTTTATTTCTTCCTTTTTTACAATAATTATTCATATATATAATTTGTCTAACATTAATAGTTATCCTAGTTAACTTTTTTTATATTAGTTATTCTTTAATTTGAAAGTAGAATTTTTTTTTTAGCATTTGGAAGTTAATTTTGTAATTGCAATACTTTAAAATCTTTTTCTTCTTCAACTCTTTTGATTTATCCATAGAAAATTTTCATTTTAAGATGTATTTCCCTTTTTATTGTTGTCAAAAGAGGGAGTCATTAGTCATTGTTTGATGTTTTTGATTGTTGGTTGATGTATGTGCTATTTTGTGAATGTGTGTATGTTTTATTCGTGTCTTGTTCGAGTAGTTTTTGGTGTTTTGTTCAAGTATATTTTTGTTTTAGTTGTCTTTGTTTCTTTCTAATTTTTCGGGTTTAGGATTTGTGTTTTTTTATCTTCATGAGAACCCCTTATTTTTAGATTGGTCATTTATTTAGGGAGAGCAAAGGAGAAAATTTTCTTTAAATGTTTAACTTAAACAATAATTATTTTGCCATCAGAAAAAGGGGGAAGATTATTGCAACTTAGTTTTCAAAACTATGTTTTTATATCATGTGTATTTTTTATGATTCCAAAATCTTATTGTATGGATTACTGCTTCTTCTAATATAAATTAGAAATTTTGTTTGTGTTGTTTGTGTGTACTAACATTTTAGAGAAATAATACTTCAAACTGTTGAAGTCTTCAAGACAACTTAGATTAGGGTTTATAAGTAAAGTCTATAATTTTTCTATTTTTCTTGAGTCTGAGAGAGTATAATTATAATTGGGTAACTGTGAACACACACACTAGGGGAGTGAGTCAAAACTTATATTTTTTAAACTAATTGTAATGTACGATTATGGGATCATACAGGATGATTTGACCTGAGTGTTCCTCTAGAATGCAGTTAATCAAATCATGTCTTAGAAATTTTTGATTGAACTATTCATACCGTATGAAATTATATTTATACAGACAATGTCAAGAGTACAAAATGGATACATACTAGTTCATTTAGAATGAACTCAATTTTTTTTTAGCTGATCATACTATATGATAATAGTTTCATATAAATGATGTCCAGAATGTGAAATGGGTGCGTACCATTTTATCTATATAAATAGGTAAATTTTTTGAACTATTTGTACTGTAAAAAATTAGTTTCATATAAACGGTGTCTAAAGTTTGAAATGGAATCATCCATTTTTGTACCAAACAAAACATGAATTGGTTGAATTGACTGTATTGTATGAAATGAATATCATGCAGAATGCTGACTAGAGTATGAAATGAATTAATACAGAATCTCACCTGACTAACTTGTTCATTTTGAACTATTCGTACAATATGATGTCAGTTTGTACATACAACTAACAGAGTATGAAAATAGGTTCGTACATGATCATACAAGGAATTTTGAACTGTTCGTACGTATGAAGTTGGATCGTACTGTATGATCCAATTCGATCAAATAGAAAATTTCAAATTTTAATGGTTTTTCATGTCCTTTCTATATAAGGTCCTAAAAACTAACTAACAAAATACTCCTATGAATTTTTACTACTAATATCTTTTGAGAGTGCACTTGGAGAGTGTCTTAGGATTGGAGAGTGAAAGATCTCTGAAGAGGAATTTGTGAGGGGATTTATAAGGTTACCCAATGGTGGGGATCACTTGTTCTTCAAATTTCTTCCCTACTTTCTTGAAGTCTCTTGGAAGAAGATTTTTAAAGGAGAGATAGTACTCTGCTGACACCAGGAGGGTATGAAAGGATGACGATACTTTGCCGACACCAGGAGGGTGTAAAAGGATGATGGTACTCTACCAACTTCAGGAGGGTGTGAAAGGATGATGATACCCTGTCGCACTGGGGATTTGTGGAAGAGAGGTTAATTGTAAGGGCTTCTATGCCTTGCTATGAGAACAAAAGGAGAGTCACTTTAGTGTAATGCAAAACATGAAGAGAGAGTCTTCAAGAGTGGACGTAGGTATAATTGGACTGAACTACTATAAATTTATATGCTTTTCTATCTTTATTTTTTACCATTTTTATTTTCCGCAATTTAATTTTTTGGTTAAAAAATTTATTTTGATAAATTTTTATTGTGCTTAAAAACTACAAAATTGATTCTCTAAAATTTCCATGAGATTTTTAAATTACCAATTCACCCCCTTCTTAGTCAGCCTTGGGACAAATTTAAAAGTTCTAACAACCTATTCAGACTTTCAAATTATGCTAGACCACTTAGGGAGTATGTTAATCCTGTAGTAAAAGGAATCCATTAGAGTATTAGTAGACTTACTATCTAGGCTAATAATTTTGAATTGAAATTGACTATTATCCAAATGGTATAAAATTCTCAGTTTGGTGAAACTCTTGTTGAACATCCTAACATATATTTAGCTAGTTTCTTAGAAATATGTATAACTTTAAAGTATAGTGGTGTTAGTGATGATGCTATTAGACTTAGATTGTTCTCATTTTCTCTAATTGATAAGGCTAAAATATGGTTAAATTTTCTGCCCCTAGGCTCTATATCTACTTGGAATGATTTAGCTCAAAAGTTCCTTGCAAAGTAATCCCTACCATTAAAACCTACTAAGCTTAGAAATGATACCACTTATTATATCCAGTTTAAAGGATAATGAATTAATGTAAGTTGGGAGAGATTTAAGGAGATGCTTAGAAAATGTCCTCACCATGCTTTTCCTGATTGGTTGGTAATTCAAACCTTTTATAATGGATTAGTAAGATCTCTTAGATCAATAATAGATGCTGCAATTGGAGGATCATAAATGTTTAAGCCATTTGAGGATGCTTATGATTTGATAAAATAAATGGATAATAATAATTTCCAGGGGTACGCTGATAGTATAAATCCTAATAGAGTAGATTGAGTCTATGAAATAGATGCTTTATCTATTCTTACTATTAAATTAGCTTTTGTTTTTAAAGGATACTATAGAAGTCAAGGATGGACCAAATATGTATAATAATTACCTTAACTTAAGAGGTGATCCTAGACATGTGAATAATGTGACACCGTATCATACAACATTGTAGTGTTACCCTTCAAGTTTTGAACAAATCGAACATGTTGAGAATGGGAAGATAACCTTAAAAGATGTTGTTATACAATTAGGAAATCAAATAAAATATCAATACACTACTGTTAAAAAATTGAAGATCATATATGGCATCTTGCTAGGTTGATTAATAATAAAAAATTAGATGAATAATATAATAATATCTAACTTAGGAGGGGAAGATATTTAGGAGATCAGTACAAGGATATAGATCAATTTTAAAGAATAATGGTGAAGAGAACATTTAAAAATTGATTCCCCTATTCAACAACCAGATCCTAGAGAAGAACTTGAAAAAATAACTAGGAAGGCTGTATAGAGAACCCCACCACATTTTCTTTAGAGGTTAATCAAAAAAATCTTAATAAATAATTCTTTACGTTCTTAGAGGTTTTTAAGAAATTAACTATCAACATACTGTTCTCTGAAGCCTTAAAGATGATGCCCAAATATGCAAAGTCCATGAAGGATATTTTGAATAAGAAAAAGAAGTTAGGGGAATTTGAAATAGTAGCATTAATTGAAAAGTGTAGTGCTATAATTAAAAAGAAACTTCTTAGAAAACTTAAAGATCTTGGTAGTTTCATCATTCCTTCAACTATCAGTGATAAATTATCTGAGAGAGCTTTATGTGATCTCAGATCAAGCATAAATCTCATGCCCTTATCAATCTTCAAAAGATTAGATATAGAGGAGATTCAACCAACCTATGTTACAATTCAATTAGCTGATGGGCTTTTCACTTATCTAAAAAGGGGTACTAGAGGATGCTTTGGTTAAGGTTGATAAATTCATTTTCCTTTCTGATTTTATTGTGCTTGATATGAAAGAAGATAGGGAAACACCTTTCATTTAAGGATAACCTTTTTTAGCCATTAGGAAGGATATGATTGATGTATAAAAAAGGGAATTAATTATGAGGGGTTAAGATCAGGAGGTTACTATTAATATACTGAAATCTATAAAATCACCTCAAGATAATAATAGAGATTATTGTAGAAATAATTTGGAAGATATTATAGTGGAGTGTTTAAAAGAAGAGTTGTTAGAAGGAGATTTGTTGGAAGAAGAAGTTGAGAAAAATATGAGTTTTTAGGAGAATCCTTTTTAACAATTGGAGGTAGTATGTGATTGTTTAAAGAAACATTTAGACTTTAGAGTCTCCACCTTTGGGTAAAACTTTGAGACCTTCTATTAAAGAAGATCTTCATCTAGAGTACAAGGTTTTATCCAACCATCTTAAGTGTACTTTCCTTAATAGTAACTCAACTCTTCCTATTATCATTTTTGAAAATTTAGAAGAACATAAGCAACGTGTGAGTTGATTAGGGTTTAAAGTGATTTCAAAAGAGCTTTAGGGTAAAAAATTACATACATAAAAAAATTAGCCCATCGATATACATGCATATAATTTTAATTGAAGCTAATTCAATACCTAAAGTTGAACCTCAAAGAAGATTTATCCTTTTAATGAAAGAAGTTTTTAAGAAAGAAATTCTTAAATGGCTTGATGCTAGGATTTTCTATCCCATTTCTAGCAGTCCTTGGATGAGCGTAATTCATTGTATTCCTAAAAGGAATGGCATGTATGTTATATGAAATGTACATAATGAACTTATTCCTACTATAACTTTCACTAGGTCGAGGATTTGTATAGATTATAGAAAATTAAAAAAAGCAAGTAGAAAATACCAATTTTCCTTGCCTTTTCTTGATTAGATGCTAGATAGGTTAGCAAGGCATTCATTTTTTTTTTTGCTTTCTAGAAAGACATTTGAAGTATCATCATATTCTTATTGCACTTGAGGACCGAGGTAAGAGTACCTTCACCAGTCCTTATGGAACATTTTCTTTTAAGAGAATGCTATTTGGTCTTTATGATGTATAATGTAAAATTTTTCAATTTTAATTGAGCAGGATATTGAAAACTTTATAAATGACTTTTTTATATTTAATACTATATTTAATTCTTATCTTAAGAATTTAACTTCTATGTTGAAAAGATGTGTAGAGATAAATTTAGTATTAAGTTAGGAGAAATATCAATTCATGGTGATGGAAGGCATTATTCTGCGGCATAAAATTTCAAAGTAAGAATTTTTATTTTTATTTTTAAATAAAACCCACAGAGGGGCGTACGTGTTAATAAATAAAAATGATTATAAAGTCCTTAAGGGAGACCATCAACTCACTACTACTCGAATGAGCTACAAAATAAAGAAAAACAAAACATATGAGCTAATAGTCTCCACTAAACAAAAATACAAGGCAACCTAGAAACATTCTAAAGATGTTATAAACAATCATCCAAAAAAGAAAGATCAAAGTAAGGAAATGAAGCATGATTTCTCTACAAAAAAAGCTTGATGTTAGCCATAATCACCTCCACCTGCAAAACAAAATGGCTGCAAAAAAAATAACTATAGCTCCAAAAATTATAAGTAAACCATAAATGATAATCTAAAAATAAGCCAATGCCAAAATAAGAATAGCAAAGTCTGCATAATAATAAGTAATCCAAATCCTTCCACCACGTGAAGCCAAATTAAGGATAAAGACTTATAGTGCTCATAGTATAATTAAAATAAGAAGCCTCATTAAGGCAATCCACATGCCTCTCAATCCTACCATTAACAACAATCAAGAACTTCTCAAAATGCCCCAAATAGCAAAGGTCAAAGTCCCCATAAGAGCAATACTCAATCTCCAGAAAATCACCAATACCCAGCCAAAAAAGAAGCCCCCATCCAAATAACCAAAACAAGTTGGACATATACCAAGCCAAATTCCAATGACCAAAGAAAAGACAAACTCTCCTGTAAGTAATCGCAAAACCAAAAACAGAGCCAACACAATCCCAAATCCCAGCCAAACTCTCACGGATACCCCCAGCCCACTAGAAGAGCAACCTGATGGTAGGAGAGCAATAATGGGATAAGCCATCAACCACATAACTTGTGCAATCTGGATAGAATAATACCCAATTGAAAGCCACAAAGAAATGCCCGCAATTATTCAATAAAATTTAGACAGGAAAATACCCAAATAAAAGGAGCAGCACAATATAACACATAGAACCCCAAAGAAAGAACAAACTCATAAGGCAGCACAGGGAATCACCATTCTAGGAAACCATAAAAATGAACCAAAGTAAAGAAACCACACCACACCTCCAAGAAGAAGAGAGGAAGGGCAGAAAACCACCCAGCCTAAGGAAAACCCAGGAAGCAAAACCACAGGTAAAGAGTAGCCGTAGTGATAATACCCACCAATATATGAAAAAGCATAACCACCACATAGCAGTAGATAATAACAAAGAGCCAATAATGAATGGTGACACCTAAACACAACCCAACAACATAAAGGCCAGACAAAGCCCCAGCACACCACCTAGGAAACCCAAAAAAGGCCCCTGAATAGAGAGAACGAAGCATGTCACCAAAAATACCATTTAAGTTCTAATATAGGGAAGACCAAGAGCATCAAGATTAAGCAAATCTCTAAGAGCCAACAGAATAGTGAGCCAAATAACATAAGAAAAGTAGTCAAGATTACAACGCCCATTAGCTAGACAAGAAGCACATGCATTACCCTCCTTACTAATATGATGAAACAAATAATTAAAAACATCAGCAGATTTTTAATTTTGTGTAGCTTGATAAAAGAGATATGTGGAGCAATACATATCATCATCACCATTATATAAGAATTGGAAATCATAATCTGAGTTAACCTCTATAAAAATGTTAGTTAATTTAAGAGAGATATATAACTTAATACCGTAATTAATCACCATGGTAATAGCAACAAAATTATTACTATTCTGAATAAGACCAACAAAACCAATAATAAGGGTACCTTTACTATCCATGATAGCACCACCACATCCCACAGAAGAGCCATTACTAGCACCATCCACATTTAACTTAAAGAAATTACTAGGAGATTTGTTCCAATAGATAATATTATCCTTTAAAGTAGTAGGATTCCCCTCCAAGTTAAGGCCTAAAGCATTCCCAACAAAGTAATAGTTTTTAAAATTCTTTAAAGAGAGAAATTTAACAGCCACAAGAGACAAAACTTTATCCTTCACCGTCTGAATAACCTTATGATGATTCATCTAAACATCATTAAAGAGAGAATTATTCCTCTCCAACCATAAGAACAATAAAATGAGAGAAGGAATAACATTACGAAAGTGCCATTTAGAATTCAAGAACCAAGCATTAAGTATAGATTTGAGGGATAAAGGAGCATTAAAATAATTTAATTTAAACAAATCATCAAAATAAACACAAGTTTTAATAGCAACAGGGCCAAAAATAAAAACATGATGCATATTCTCCAATTGGTAAAAACATTGACTCTCGGAAGGAAACATAAAACCTTTTTTGGTAAAATTATCATCCGTGGGAATAAATTTATGTAAAATTCTCTAGAAAAGATGGCCACAATAGTAGGAATGCTCTGATGCCAAATCAAGGAAAAAATATTATCAATATTTCTCCTAGATCTAAAAACATGCCAAATACTCTTTAAGTGAAAACCCCCATCTTTGGAAAAATCACATAAGTTAATATCTTTACAAGCAGTATTGATAGGTAAGTTTAGAGTTTTATG